GTTATGTAATATTCACGTCCAACATTTTTTGCTGGTAGATATTTAGAAAATGTTTCCCCCAACTCTTCATAAAATTTTTTGTTTATTTTAACACCATGTATATGTGATTCTGGTAAGCCCATTAATATTATGTGCTTTGTTACTAAATTCTAAGGTGAACGAATCTCCATTAGCAGTGGTCGTTGTAAATTCAAATGAATTCACTTGGCCGAGTCCTCTGGTTTGTGTGAGTTCGCTCCGCACTTAATTGAAAGTGGATTAGCGGAGTTTTATGCTCGGGCACGTTGCCTCGCTTGGGTTCTGGTGCTTTTTTTGTACAATGTTTAAGGGTCTGATCCTATCCGCAAATACATTGAAAATTAATTAAGCCACACGATGAAACCATGTTAACAAGACGCTTAAAACAAAATGCTGTTCTTGTGAAAACAAATGCCAAGCTCCGCCCACATTTGCGATGATGTTTTCTTTTGCGTTCTTTTCATTTTGCGGTTACCTAAGATTACGCATACGCAGCGTGGCGCGTGTGAAAAATACTTTGCTAGAAAGTTTTATCAGGTCGAGGGAAAGGAAAATGCTAAGCCGGCCGTGTCGCTACCTAGCTCATTCTCCCCCTATTACTTTAATGGATTCACAAAAGCCCTTTTTTCATTAAGGTGAATGCCAGCTAGGATCTCGGAGGGGCCAACACTTGGGCTTTCTTTTCGGGGCAACTTTATCAGACACCCAATTAAAAGGGCTTTATAACAATTAGAGCTAATAACACGCTTCAATTGTGCCAGCAAGGCCAGAGGGCCATAGCCACCCACAATTTCCCTCCATTTTTTTTTGGGAAGCTGGCTTTGGATTTTTATTGGAATTTTTGTCGGGGCAGTTTATATTTTTATTTTTTTCGGAATGCGGCATGCGGCATTGCGGCGGCAATTAAAAGGCAAGACCACAGCAATTAGCAAATTGACATTGTTTATGCATTTAGCTGGCTTAGGTCGACGGCTACTGCCGCTGCTGCTGTCACTTAAATAATTGAAATTATTATGGCCATTGTTTCGGCCTCTGTAATCTGTAAGCCAAGTCGAAAGCGAGTGGGCCAACTCAAATAGAGAACGAATCTCTGGAAATTTGATAAATTAGTTGTGGAACTAAAAAAGTTTTACCCTATTTTTCGTTGAGCATTGCATTGGCTTGCATTTCTGTGAGCGGCTTATCCCAGTCTACCACTGATGGGCGGAAACTTTTTCCTCGGCTTTTCCCGGGCTAAATGCAAAATCCAATTTTTCGAATGAAAAGTCAAACAGGAATTTAACTTTTGATCCGTTTTTGGCAAGAGCCGGCAATCAGCGGAGGAAAACTCGGCAGCTCTTTTCCATTTTCCCCGCTTAACAGCTAATAAATTTTTCGGCCCTCAAATCCTACATATACATATATAGGTTTGTATATTTCGAGCCAGGCTAAAAACCCTCAATGAATCGATAGCAATTTCAATTTGACGCCCATTCTCGGCAAACTAATTTGCAATCATGAGAGTTTTTGTTAATTTTAATTTGATTATACCATATTACGCGTACGCCACCTAATATTCCATTACCACAGCCATTTCGAATTTTGGGGTCTGTCAGTTTTGATGGCTCGGCGAAAAATCATTATCATTGGAGGCACATAAAAATAATATTTGTCGATTTGTGTTTGCAATTTATGCAAGCGCACTGTCCTCAACGCACGGCCATTGTTTTCGCGTTCTATTTGCTTTTGGCCATGGGAAAATATACGAAATTCAAATCTAATTAACATTTGGCGCAAAAATGTTTATAATGGCAGCCGGCAGAGGGGATGATTTGAATTTTAATGAGCTGCGATTGGCATTAATTGTCGGCGTCGGCCTAATGACAGGCGAATGCGAATTATTTACATAGCATGTAATTTAATAAGAACCATCTGAATCACATCCAATCATTGAAATTTATCCGGGCATTCCGTGCGCAGCAATGTGATGTGGTGTGATGGTGTGGCTGTATAGAAGTTCGTTTTAAATCGAGTTTGATTATTGACAAAGCCGCTGTAGATCTCGTATCGCTTTCAGGCCATAAGTGACAAGGCAACAATGCAACAAGCGGAGCAGCAAGAGCGCAACAATGCCACAACTGCCACACAATATATCACGCATACGCAACCGTGCCGTCACTCAGACATTCAAACACTCAGTTACAGATACACAGATACACAGATACATAGATACAGATGGAAACTTAGGAGCATATGGATGTGCCGCTGCAAACACATGCTCAATTGAATTGAAATTGAATTTGCAATTCTATGCGCTGCAGCTAACGCCATTTTCTTTGCCGTGCGGGAAGCCCCATCACGAATGCCATCTCACTTGCTCACCAGCTCCCACTTTTTGTAGTGTTTTTATTTTATTTACCCTGGGGAGCAAAGTCGCCCGACATGGTTATGAACTTGGTCTGCAAAAAGTTATGCCCTCTTGCTGCCGTATTTGATAGCCAACATGGCGCAAAACAGTTTAAATTCCACTGACTGGAAGGCTATGGAAATGGGATTATGTGGGGGTAAAGGAAAAGTGCTACAGATACAGGTTCCAAATAGTATGATCCATAAATGTAAGTATTTTAATAATTAAAATCAATAAATAAATCTTAAGTAATTTAATCTTAGCCTTACAGTTAGTTATTACTTAAATCGCTATAAATTTAAAAGGTTTACATGTTTCTTTATGTTTCTTTATAAAATAAATAAATCAAATGCACTTTAAAACTGATATTTGTAATGAAATCAATTTTAGTTTTACAATTATGCTGCACTTAATTGAAATAAACTTAAAGTGCTTTCATATTTCCCTTTCTTGACTGCCAAATAAATAATAAATGTTATGTAGTTCTTGGTTTTTATGGGAAATATTAAAGGATTGATTCTGGGGTAAGGGCATCTGCATATTCCTGGTTTATCGGCACAATTCGTGGCCCGCCTTTTTTCAGATTTCCTTGCCGGGCACTTGGCAGCTTTCCATTCGCCTGTGTGCCATTCGATTTGCTTTGGTCCTGCCGTTCCTGCCACTTTTCCACTCCTCGGATCCTTCTCATGCGTATTTGTGTGTTTGCTTTCGCTTTTTGCCGTATTTGCATTTCGTTATTGAGACTGAGACAAAGCGTCGCAAAAAAACTGCTCCTGCTCCTGCTCCTTTTTCCTGGTCCTGGTCCTGGTCCCGCTGCATTCAATCATCAATGAGATTTTGCATTTTACACTTTTCACTCCGGTTACGCTTTTGCCGGGGATTCCCCGATTCCCTTTGCACCCATTCGGTGCAGCAGCCCTTTGTTTGGTTTTGCCAGCTGGTAGCTGGTAACTCGTTGCTCCTGCTCCTTTGAGTCCTTCAGCCAGGCTGAGTGCCTCTTGAGCCTCTCTCTGCCGTTCCGCATAATCGTTGCCCACACTTGAGATCGAAATCCCGGGTATACCCCTAGTCCCCTCTCCTAGGGCGATTTTGATTGATAAGACCCGGGCAAGTGTCTCTGATTTATTGATTAGTTGTCAAAGCGATTGCCATGCATTGGAAACACTTGCCGGTGGTCAAAGTAATTAAAATGTAAATGTGACAAACGTCTTGTTAGGCTGTAAGGACAGGAATGTGCACCTGCATACCAAAGCAAGGATCTTTCTTTGCACACATGGGAATTATGTGAAGCACTGGGAAAATGAAAAGGTTTTACAAAAAAAAGGAAACAGAAAATGTATCCCCTTTTATCACCCTTTTGCTTAAAAAATATATTGTATCAAAGTTTTCTATATTCGATTTTCCTAAAAACATATCAAAAAATGTTATTAAAAGATATGGTAAATATAAAAAAGAAATTAAGATTTTAATTTAACAACAATCTTTCGATAAAGTGCAATTTAAAACAAGCCCCTTATAACATATTTGCATAGATGTTTATTTTATAAAGTTTTTCAAAAATTCATCTTTTCCATTTAAGGGTTTAGTTAGTATCTTAAGAAATGGCAAATACCCATCTAAAATTGAAGAATCACTTTAACCATCATATAAGAGATGAAGATTCATTATAATATCCTATTTAATGGTGTCATTCGAGAAAGATTAATCTGAAATCAAGACCCCTTCCCTGAAACTTTAATAGTTGGCTGCCGTTTAAAAGGTTTTGCTTAAGAATTCCAGGTGGAAATCCCGGAGTTAGAAAATAGGCTTTTCCCAAAGCCCCTGGTAGCTTCCATGCCAGCTGCATTATGGCTCCCCACTCGACATTCGGCACTCGGCAAAATGATTTGTATGTCAGCCGGAGGACCAAAATGGGGGGCACATGTTCGGCATGCCAAGCGCCACAAAGTATGCCGCACTTTTGCTTTGTTTCGTTTGACTATTGAGGTAAGTGTGTTGCTTTCTTCTCGCCGTTATGGCTGTGCTTTTGCCAAATGCAAATGGCATTTTGCAAGGACAAGTAGACTGGAAAAAAACCACATAAGAGAAAACAGTACTGAATGCCGAGAAACAGGGAACAAGAGCAAATTGCATGTAGCGAAACTTTTCCTCATTACGCAGGCGAAAGAAAAACAACGTGCCCGGTCGCTCTCATTTTCCCTTCGGGCGAGTGCTGTATTAAAAATTTAAAATGCCATTGGAGTTTCGGGTGGTGGTGGTGGTAAGGGAAGTAAGGAAAGAAGAAGCTCTAGGAGGTATTACTACCCATTTCCGGACAGGTGCCCTCGCCTATAGATTCCCAAAGATCGTGAAAACCATCAAAGAGCGCAGCCATTTCCGTATGCAAATTATCTAGCTGAGTGGCATCAAGTTTTTGCGGACCAAGGCCGAATGAAAGGCAACTGCTCGGGTTTTCCACATCCCCTACTTTTCCACATCCCCTACTTTTCCACCATCCTCTCCTTTCCACAGGGGAGGGAATTTTTCCTGCAAATTCGCAAAGACTTCTGCCCGAAGTTTTTTACGTGCGCCGTCATAGTTTGTCAGCTACTTTCGTTGGCGGTTTATGCAGCTGCATAAATGTTACTTCTACTTACGTAAATTACAAAATAAAGTTATTACGAAAAGTAATTTAAGTTAAAAATTTTCGTGTGCCGTCGCAAATGTGCAGCCAACTGGCAACTGGTAAAACTGGTAGCAGAAAGAACCAAAGGTGGCCTGTAAAATCAGTTAACAACTTGGGGGCTCTTCCTTCCCAGCGGGCTTAATTGTAACTTAAAGCCGTTTTGCAAATTCGCTTAAGCAAAAAGTTGGCATTGGCGAAACAAAAAAAAAAAACGGCAAAACAGAAGCGGGTAAATCAATTTGCATTAAACATTCAAAGGTAGCGAAAAAAAATACGAAAAGGCAGCAGAAACACTCATAAAGAATGCAAACTGGGGCTAAAACCGTAGCACAAACTTTTAGTTTGCTTTGATTGAGTGAACGTGGCCAAAAGAGCGGGCGGAAAGTACCAACCAGTTGGCCACGCTTAATCAATGGCCCAATGGACAAAATGGCCACAAAAACAGGAAAAACTCGATCGCCTACGTACATCGACTACATCCCACACATCCACCTGCAATCGCAATCATGGACACATTCACATTGCTCGACAACAGGACAACAAAACCGTAAGCAATTGCCAGTCGCATAATGTCCTGGCCATCATTGTTGTTGCTGTAGTCGCTCGGAAAATCAAGTTGAAAGTTCCTGGCAACTTGAGGTGCAAGTGTCGTGTTTTTGTCAACGGGCCAACAGCAGCAATTTCCGTTTCCTGTTCGCCGCTGATGGAAAAACGAGGCAACGAGTCAACGAGTATAAAAGTTTAGATTACAAATTCACATACGTAACTGCAGCCGTACACTGGTCAGCAGTTGATTTACCGCTCTGTAACTGTTGTTGCCGTACACTGATCGAAATAGTGGGGCTTATTCAAATTCAACAATAGTTGATTATTCGGAAAATTGCGGATTGTTGAGAAATTAAAAGAACATTTAATGTTCCATTTAATTTCAAAATTATATTTAACATTCTCTTTACTCTATTTGAAAAAATATATTAGGATAAAAAATGCTTTAAGTTAAAATATTTAAAAAGGCAATACATTTTTTTAGTTTTTAAAAATTACCTTGCCAATCTAATAAACGTACAATGGTCAGGAAATTATTCTTATTACCTTTTCTTGACTTTGGTTGTAAGTGTTTAATTTTTACTATTAATATATAAAATAAAATTCACAAAATAAAGAAAGTTATTGTGTATTTAAAGACATTGAATCATTATTTTTGGTCCCTGTATTATTATTATTATTTATTAGTTATTATTATTATTAGTTATTCAAGGTTATGCTAAAATCGAAACATGTTAAATTGTAATCCATTATATTTTCTTTTATAATATTACGTAGATACCCAAATACACTTATTCGAAAATACCCTATTCAAATTTCTTAAATACAAAATATTTTTTCGGTGTAGCTTTCCTTTAGCCTTGTTTCGTTTGCCGTGTTTTCTTTTTTGGCCTGGCTTGTGTTGGCTTGGTTTGGCTTGGTTTTCGTAGCCGGGCGCATGTTTTGTGGTCAACTCGGGGCAATGGCAATGCAATTGGGGCTGCTGCCTGGGCTTCCGAAGCTCCTCCAGCTCCTCCTGCAGCTCCTCCATCTCCTCCAGCTGCTCCTCCATCTCCTACAGCCGCTGTACTTTTTGCCATTGCCACTCATGCGTGCCACGTGCTATGCTTTGATGTGGTGTGTTCAGTGACTCCTCCTCCTGCTCCTCCGCCGGCTCAATGCTCCTCCAGATTCCAGCTCCTAAATAAACTTGGAATAATAAGAGGCAAAAAAGAGGAAACGAATTGCCACACAAGCTCGCCTCAAATGTTACTTCTGCATTTGGGCAAATTGGACTCGGCGAAAGCCACACGGAGACACGAAACTTTGTAAATATTTTATGCATAAACACATACCACCTGGAAATGGCTTTCGACACAGCATCAAATAATATTTACTTGGCTAACACAGACACACCAACACACACACACACACACACACACCGCTCAGAGGGCTGCTTGGTTCATTAGGCCCAAAGAGCAAGTTGGGCCACAAAACCTGCAGATCAAGTCCGGATTGCGGCAGCTCAATGAATTTACCAACGATTGGACATCCCACAGATACGAAGTCGGGAATCCCACATTCCTCGTCCTGCGAAAAGGACTCGAGAGTCGAAAAAAGGATGTGGATCAGCTGTCGCAGCGGAAAGCGGTCCATAAATAAAGCAGCCTAATCAACACAGCCATTGGCAGCATTATTGTCACGTATTATTTTACATTTGTCTACGTTTGGCTTTCTCCGTTTTTTTTTTTGTTTTTCGCATTTTTCCCATTTTTTCTGCCATTGTCCTTTCCTGGCAAGTGCATCCATAAATTGTGAGCTCTGTTCGGGCATCCTTTTTATTTATTTACTCCGTGTAAGTGGAGTTCACTTTGCAATGCAATGCGCTGAGTGCAAGCTTCCCGCTGCCCTTTTCCCTAAAATTCCCCGTCTGGAATGTTTCTTGGCATCATCATCATGGTCATCATCATCCTCTTTTCTAAGACGTAACTCTCCGGCTATTTTTCGGACGGATCGATATATTTATGCACCTGACTGTCGCGAATTTTTGCTTCACTTTGGTTATATGACTTAGATGGTTTGAAATTCTAAATAATCCATGCTTTACTTAACTCAAACTAAATTGTTTCAATCATTTATATTTTGCTTCTCAAACATTTAAAATAATTTTTTTAAGCATAATACACAAATGATTAATTTTTCAAAAAGTGCAGTTGTAGAACCCAGTATACCAATAATCATGGCTTTGATCGCCAATTTGCTTTAAATACTAAATTAAATACTTTATGCATTTGTAATTGATGTTGAAAAAGACATTTATCAATACAATATTATTTAAATTATGATGATCAGTTTATTTTTCCACAAGAACTAGAGGTGTTTGCCAAGATTTATTGCAATATTTTGATAACCGCCGGTTAAAGTCCGCGTTAAACGTAAAATTTAAAGGAATTTCTAAGAATGGAGGTCTGTATCCATTCAGGAGTGCTCCCAATTCACATTCCTTGGCTTTTGTGCTGCCTTATGCTAATTTTCGCCTTTACTCGCATTCTCGCTGGCAGCTTAATCATGCATGTTTACACGCAAGTTCGAGTGGCAAACTCAAACACCCTGGGTTAACAACAGCAAAGTAAATGAATTGCACGGCTGAGGGAAGGTGCCCCCCCCCCCCCCCTTTTTACCGCCCCGCCCCCATTGTTATTTGCATAGCCGGGGGCGTGGCATGGCATTCGGCACCCGTTCCGTTCCAGTCCGTTAATCAACGAGCGCCTGCCTGAAGTCAAACATTTAACTAAATTAAGTTTGTTTGGCAAGAATTTTTGCATAAATAATTACAAATGGGAACGGCAGTGATCAGAAACGGGTTGAAGCTAAAGACGCCTGATTCTATCTCATAAGGGAATCTTTACTAAAATGTAAATAAATATTACAGAAGCCCAGATGACTATAATTTTAAAGCAATCGATTGTTAGAATTTTAGAACTATTTTTAATAATTTTAATTTAAATAAGATGAATTACATAATGTAAGATTTATGAACACTTTGGCAAGGGTATAAAATATTCTATTTTTTTTTTAAATTACCTAATTTTATCTGCCAGCCCTCTCGAGTTTTCCATATACCTCCGACACTCTTGTTATTAGACTCTTGTTTGTTTACTTTTTTGTTTCATGTTTCACTGATTCGTTACTTGGTTTGAATTTCTTTCCGACTGTTATGTAAATGTGCCCACTTTTCTAGCCATTAACTTGCCTTTGGAAAGAGTCAAGTCAGATTTGTTAATTAATCCTTTTTTTGTGAGTCTTCAAACAACGTGTGCAAGTGTATGCTTGCCTTAACGATCTTAAATTAAAAACTCAAATTCCCTATACTGTATTTTTGCCGTACCGCAAAGATATCTATATATGTTCTGTGTATGAAGGCTGAATGACCATATAATCCCCCGAATAAAAGGTTTTTATAATTAAACTTTTTAATGGACTCTATCAATAATAAATAATGAGCGTCATTAGGGCTTATCGATTTTTGTTTGATGTGAATATAAGAGGGGACAAATCACAAAATTAAAATATTCTTTTAAAAAATTAGAACAGTATTATTTAGCACTCGCAATGTTTCGGGAATATTCTGTGTACTTATCGCTTTTTCTGCTTTTTTTAATTGTCCATGAAGTTCGTATTTGTAATTGATACGTTAGCAATTATTAATTATATATATCTGAAGGCTATCTCAGGTTTTGAGATGACAAATATCATATGCACATCGCTGGACGAATCTTATGCTTCATTTGAGTATTGTTACCTGAAATCCGTGAATCGAACTCATAAATACGCATCCTTGAGAGCAAAACTACACAAGGGGCCCGTTTATAAAATTAAGGTAAGGATTATAATAAAAGATGTTCCAAATAATCCCTTGTATATATTTCAGGTAAATTTTGCGATTTATCAACGGCTAAACGGATACAAGCCATTTCTGTATAATGTCACCGTCGATGGATGTAAATTCATATTAAATCAAAAATCTTCTCCAGTGACCTCATTTATTTTCAACCTTTTTGCTCCTTACTCAAACATGAATCACTCGTGTCCCTATGACGTAAGTACATTTTATTACATTTAATTATAATATAACAAGTTCATTTCAGAATGACATAATTGTGGAAAAAGTGCCTTATTCGTATTTAAATGGCCAGTTGTCGACTGTTTTGCCTTTTCCAAAATCTTCTTATGCATTTTGCAGCGATTGGTATTCCGATAAGATAAAACGAGCATCCGTTAATGTCCATGCTACAATAACGTAGTACAATAATATTTGGCTTATTTCAATTTCAATTTTTTATCTGCTGAGCTCAGCATAAAGGGTCAATAAATTATATATGTGTAAATAAAAGTTTATAAATTGCAAAGCAATTTTGTATGACAAATAGATTTCAGTAATTAAAAAAGTATTTGGATTTAAAAGCAATTTTTCAAATGAACGAAATGAGAATTTAATGAGTGAGGTACCTAGTTACTCAGCGCTCGCAGTGCCTCTACTCTAAGGCCGAAATATACCTTAAATTAAGTTTTAATTTCTTAACTTAAGAAAATCGGAGTGCTATAAATGGTGCGCCCAATCTAGAATTGTCATAATTAGAGCAACCAGCCAGGGGGCAAACTTCAAGGACCTGCAGTGGCTCAACGGTCTGCGACTGCAGTTAGATGGCTGGAATGGAGAATGTCCCGACAATGTAGAACACCATCCATCAAATGTCAATTGTATGCCAACTGCCAACAAATCAAGCTGTCATGAGGCAATGGCAAAAGGCAGTCGTCGAGCCAGTAGAGCGTTCAACCAGAGCAAAGTATTTCTGGAGCTCCGCTCCATATTTAAAATTATGCCACTAAAGCAGGCAGTGCACTGAGAAAAATAGTTCCAAGCCCAAGTCATAAGCAAGGTGTTTTATTTGCTAACGATTATTATAACCCTTGAATGAGTTATTATTATAAAAATTTTAAGACTGTGTAAAATAGTAAAATGCTACAAAATTTTAAAGTATTTATGGTATACTTTTGTTAATTTTTGTTTATTCTTCGTGATTTATGTAAAAGGTATGGCCTCATTTTTAAGATTTCTTATATAAAACTTTTTTTTTCTGTGTGGCTATGAGGCAGCTGGGGTCCCCTATATGTGCTCCATCCATCCATCCATCTATCCAGCGTCTAGTTGCAGCTGTCAGCGCTCTATTCTGCAGTTCATCATCATTGTCATTGACATTTTCGAGTGGCTACAATGGCTGAACAGAGGAAAACGCGGTGGCGGGTCGCACTGATTTGCATTGCTTTCGATTTATTTGTGCCTGAAAGATTTATGCGACTGTTGGGTGTCCTGGCACACTGCCACATACCCTAACATCCCACACCCATCCATCCTATATCATGCCCATTTCGGGGATGTGAGAGTATATGGCCGTGCAGTAGGCAACCACCAGACGCGTCTCGTCAGTGGGAAAGATGGGACCCAGGAACTCCAGCATGCTTGGCTGTTGCACCACGATCGATCTGTACTCCTCAAATGAGATGATGGCGTCTTGATCTTCATCAAATTTCAGGAGTAGAAAATCGACCATGTCCTAAATGGGCAAAAGAGACATTTACAATGTGATTGACTTTGATTTATTATAGCTCACCAGTCGCATTTCGATTACTTCGTCATCGTCCCCGGGGAAAAACCTCTCGACCGACGATGATATTATCTCTCGATTGATGCCCAATCCATTTTTGTCGTAGACCTAATGTTTTAAAATAAATATTTAAAATTAAGGCCTATTAGCTATCAAAAACTCATTGTATCATTACCATGTAGGCGAACTTCATTTTGCGCTCCATATCGCGAGTCATTAAAATGGTCATGTAGTTAACGAACTCCATGGGCGTCACATGCTTCCTGCCCCCCGCGATAAGGGTTACGATTCTATCCACCACATCCATGTCATATAGCTGCTGGAATCCTATCACTATGTTGACGAACTGGGTGGAGGTTATCCGACGTGCAGAGGGTCCATTCTGGAGACTGAACTTGTAGTAGATCAGCAGGATGCAGGTCACCTCCGAGTCGTTGAAGGGCACCAATCGGGCAATCTGAGGAACCAGTCCGCTATATACCGACTGGAACCGCTGATTGAACCGATCGTTCATCGTAAGGTCTAACTTCATTTTGAGTGGTTAGAAAAACAATTAACGGAACTCAAGTTTCAATAATAACAATAACATAAAAACAAACTGACTGCTACTAAAATGAAAAGAAAAACAATAAAGTGGTGATTGAAAATATAAGTATATATTTATAATGCACCTTTAAGATCTTAAACTCCTTCAACCGGAAACCGTGAAGAAATATTATCTACGCCAAATCAAAATATTCGAGTACAAGTTAAAATGAAATTGGGCTAATAATAGAATTTAGAGGACGAATTGCCATGGATCCATTTAAATTTCGGGCTGCAGGAAATTGATGCCATTAAGCTCTTGTCTGGCATTTTAGTGCAGTCACCGGAAGTGGCTTGGGGCGTCGATTTATTTAAAGAAAAAATCAAAGAGCAGGAAAGTGAAAGTGGAGTGGATGAGCAAGTGGAAAGTGGGCGGGGCGGTGGTGTTGGTGGTCGGTTGGGCGTGTAGGTGGACACTTTTCCGGGCAGACGCATACATCAAACTGCCAGACAGACGACGGCGGCCCACAACATGCATATCAGTCAATTTATCTCCAATTGTGTGTGCGTGTAAAAAAAATTACGCAATTTATACGGCAAGGGAAGGTCCATGGATGTGTGCCTGCGGACCCATTGAACTTTCCCAGAGAAATCTACATATTGATAAATGACCCCAGCGGCCAGCGAGGCAGAAAAATCGATGGACGAACCCCACTTGACATTTAAAGCGCCCTGGCGAATTTATGCGAATTTATATTGCCTTTGGCTTGGCCTGTCTTTGATTTCATTTAATCAGATGTCGATAATTGCAGAGACCTATCCGAAAACTGGGTCACATTACTGGGCTGGCATGGATTTAACAAACTTAAAGTAAACTTTATTATGCACAGGCGACAGATGGACTGACTGCCCAGCCAACTGCGAGTACAACTGACCGTGTCGGGGAAAAACTTCATCAAAATGCAGCCTCCATGGGTTGGAAAATGGTGGAAAATCGTCGAGCGACAGCGGTAGCGAAGTGTAAAATAATTACTCGGCTTTTTCTGCATTACTTGGGCGCTTTTTGACGCACTGTTTCAAGTAATTAATTGAATAAGCGCCTTGGCCCGCAATTGTATTAAATTGCCCGCTGCATTCCCACTGATTGACTTTCCGTCTCTGCGCCAATAATTATTCAAAGTGGCATCGCACGCAGATCCTGCTGGGAGCTGGGAGTTCCTTGCCACGCAGTTTAATGTCCGGGTCCCATTGATTTCACTTAAATTTGTCATCGCCTTCACTGCGAAAAAATATGCAGAATTAAAGCTCATGAAATAATAATGTTTTAAGGATATTTTTAGAGTGAACTCCCTTTAATAGAGAACCCTAACGGATCTTTATAATAATATTACTGTAGTAACTGCACAGATTTCTATATATTTTAAATCTTTAAAAACTAAAAAAATATACAAATATTTTTAAAGAATATCAAATTATGAACTTTATTTATTTTTGTATAGGTAAAATCTTAGGAATCCTCTTTTCTTTTCTCAGTTTTTGTTAAGAAATCCTCTTTACAAAAATGGCAATATCAATATCTTACCAAATTAAACAAGGAAAAGCGTTTCTTGGCCTTAAAAAGGTAATTACCACGCGGCTCAGAAAGACGCTTTGTTTGGGAAGGACTGCAACATCAAGGAAACATTTAAAATATATCTCAATGCCTTGACTTCTGGGTGGAAATGTTTTGAAGCAGTTTGTGTTTTTAAGTATCTAGCTTGCATAACCTTCTCTTCCCCATAAAACATCTGGCCAAACTTGCAAAGTAGTTGCCAACTTTTATTGCCTGGCCAGAGCTTGTCGACATCGTCCTTTGCAAGAGAGTGATCATTTTTTATTTTTTTGTTGTTGATGACCATCAAAAATACATGCCTTGTTGTGAATCTGGGGGCAAACATGCCCTTGCATTGCATAATTGCTGCAGCAAAGTTTACGGGCAACATCTAGGTACATATGGTATATGCAAATGGGAAAAAGGTTCTTGGAAATGGGGAAAAATCAGAGGCGGTAAGCGCTGCGTGAATAATTGTCTGTTGCCACATAGCTGGGAAATAATTTGCAGCCAAACGGAAAAAGCCGCACGGCAGCACACACGAAATTATAACATTTAATTTTTAATTATGAGTGTTATTAACATGCCTGAAACTTTTCGCCACAGACACACGGCAGCCGAGGCAACTATGAAATAAATGGGAGAATAAAAAACCGCAGGGAGATAGAGAAAAACAGCGAAGGGCAGAGATATGTGCATACGTGAATGTAATTATTTTGCATTTAAAAAAAGGCCACGACTCGTGAACACCGGAGCCCTTGAAAGCCGTTTGCCACCTAATTATCTTGACTAATTGCAAGGCAACAAAAGCCACAGCCGTTGCCTTAATAATATAACACTTTAGTCAGCCCAATGGTCACCATGAATGGCATTACAGTTTATTTAAAAATAATAAAACCAGGCATGTGGTAAGGGGATTATGTTGGGGCTTTCAGAAAATAAACAAAGGGTACGACAAACAATTAAACTGCTTTCAAGGGTAACTTTAGTGAAAAGGTTTCTAGGAACTCAATGACTTAAATAAGTATTTAGGTATTATATTATCTGTCAGTATTCTTGGCTTACTTTAAAGTAAATAAAAGATATGAAAAGCTGACTAAGGCGGGCATTAAATGGGTTTTCCACCTGGTTGGTGGTATAAATCGTGGAATTATTTTGCATTTACATGCAACAAAAGCGATAAATACGATCGTGCGCCATTTGTTTGCTGTTTATATAGTGAAAAAAACAATGCCGGGCAGTTGGTCACTGATTTATGGCCGGAGTTGAACCCGGGTCGTGTCACTTACAAGTCGAACAGCAGCTGTTGGTGCCGCTGATGTTGCTGGTGGTGCAGATGGTGCCCCTGTTGTTGCTGCGGGGATGCAATTTCTGTTGCAGTTGCATCTGTATCTGCGGTCGCGCTGGCTTTGTTTCCGGGGCCACGTTCATTATTCATCAATAGTTTTTTGGCCAGACCGTTTTAATGTAAAGTGCGCCGGCTTTTTGTGCATGTTTATTTAAGCGCGTGTACTGCAGGTGTTGATGCAATATTAATGGCATTTTAAATGCCGCAAATGCCGGCTTGCGTAGAAAGTCTTTTTGATATTTTTCACCAATTAATTTGCCATTTAATTTTTAATTATATTATTGCCGACAGCGAGTGGCTTTTGTAACACGAACGAAATGCACATTTCATATGCAAGTTTTGCGCCAAATTTATTGTAATTTACTTAAGAGCCATTCCCCCGAATGAAACACTGAAACAGAGGACATTCGAACAGGCCGCGAGTGTATGGTAAAAATGCAATTTGCTTGTTATGTGCATTTTTAATGGCACGTAAATAAATTGCTGCCTCGCCGCATTAAGCTCAATGCAGCAAACCCAATTAACATTGGCTCAAATAGCTTGTCGATGAGTTGGGGCCAACTTTAAGCGGCCAACAACTCCGGCTGGCAAATTTACGGCAAACTATTTACCGATTCTCTGGTGCCTCGTTAGCTGTTTCTGCTAGTTACGGGGCGTATGCGCAATGTGGAGCAATGCGAACGCACAGCAGAGGCTTCCCAATCATCATTGCGGGGGTCTAATATCGCCCCAGTGTGACGTTTGTCTAGCAATCATCATTACAGACATTAAAATGCCCGGAGGCCCAATTTCTTTGCAGTTAATTTGATGAGAAATCCCCAATATTCAAATGGCCAAACAAGATTTGGTTGGGCTTCTAAAAATAATTGAAGTCCATTGAAAATCATACAGAATTTTAAGATGTTATTAAAAAATCAAAGAAATTATTAGGTTTTCAAATCTGTTTTAAGGGTGCCTAAAAGTATGCAACAATATATTTAAAGTACGAAAGAAGACGTTCTTTTTATCGCTGCATACTTTTATGCACCTTTATAAAAGATTAAAAATCATAGTAATTTCTGTAGTAGATAATATTTTACTGTTGCAGGATTAGGTTCTTTAAAAACGTGTTCTTAAGTGCTAAGATAGGTAAACAAACAGGTAACCTGATGATGATCCTTGCTTGCTGGTGCTAAAGCAGACTTCCGGGGAATTAAACCGGCTAAGGAGGTTTATCCACCAACTGCAGTCATCTCATTCAGTGGCTTATTCAATTTACGGCACTGCAATCTGTAACAATCGCCGGAGTGGAGTGGAGTTTTCAAGCTTAACTCCCTGGACATCGCCGGTTTGTCTTGTAATTTACTTGGGCTAATTAGATGCAGCGACTGTCGCCGCCAACCAAGGACACACCCATCCCAAAAGTTGCAGGCGGAGGCTGCCTTCATTTGCATAAATTTGGCATGCAACTTGTGAAGGCCCTCACTTTGTGTCGGACATGTTGGGTTTGCAGAAATTTCAAATTTGTCGCCGCTCATGACAAATACAGTGCCAGCACTGGGGGACATAAATTAATTTAAATGTTAATTCGTTTATCGCGTTTTGTCAAGCCGGTGCGCTGTCTTTGCCGTAATTGCCAATCATCTGGTCGGGCCACGCCCCTCCCTTAACGATTTTTTTTTCACCGCCCCCTTTAATGGTCAGAAAGTCAATTAGTCTTTATTAAGCTGCAGGTCGCTGACTCGACGGGCCAGTAATGCAAATGCTGTGTCTTTTGGCCCCATAAAAATGCAGCGCACAGATACGCGAGATTCAGATACAGATACTGGAATATACAGATACGTGTGATATGGCACGGCGTTAATAATAAGCAACATTCACAAACAACAAAAGGCAATTTTAATGAAATAACCATGTGCGTTGGGGGCTGGATCCTTCGCATCCTGGCCGGGTTCAACACTAACAGCGTGCGTGTACAAGATGGAATCATTAAAGGAAATGAGTTTTTTCCCCATCGGGTTATGACAAAAAATGCGTTAAAATAAATTATTTTAATGTAGTTCTCATGTCAGTGGTGTGTTTGAGATCCGCACCATTCCACCGCTTCCACCTTTGTGCGAGTGCGCGCTTTTAAAATATTCATGTAATCACAAAAGTACACATGTAATAAAAAAAAGAGGCAAAAAGAAGTGTACGAGCACACTCGAAATGGGACCGAGTTGTGTGCAAATGTTTGCCCAGCCTACGGATGCTGAAGGTAAGAGCTTACACTGCGGAAAAATCAATGAAATATTTGCAAGACGAGTGTTTCTTTTTAAAGCTACAGTTAATGGATTGGTAACCTTTTTTTTCTATGTAAATAATAACATTTTTTCAACTGTTCAAAAGTATGCAGTGAAAAATGTAGTACCGTTTTATGTAACTATTTTGTTGCATACTTTTTGGAATTTAGGTATAAAAGTGTTTTTTAAGCTCTTGTTAGTTTTTGGTGAATCTGATAAAGTAATACCTCAATATAAATTCCCATAACATATAATATTTTTTTTTACCGACAACTAGAATATGAAAATAAAAAGAATCTTAAAGGAATGCAGTGATTATTTATGTATATATAGTGTTGCATACTTTTAGGCACCTTGTTGAGGGACTCTACAATATTCCTTCTTTCTGTGTTAAATTCTTCTAAATGAAATGTGATACCTATTTTCTGACAGTGCACAGTTAGTCTTACTGGTAATAAGCCCAGCGAATCGGAAATATGGGCCAGGGCTAGCGCCTTTGACAGCCGCAGCCACAAAGCCTGACCGGAGCTCAGTTCAATTTGTCTCAGCTACTGGCTGCTGCTGCGAGTACGAGTATTGGATTTATCGGGGTCGAGGGTCTGGCCTGTTGTCGCCTGCAATTTGTGCAGCTGCTTGGCCCCAAAACTAATTGATTTCGATTCTGTCCCAGGCCTACGCAGGATGCACAGGATGTTGGATGTAGGTTGTAGGCTGGTGGAGGTTCGAAGCCCACCTGCTGACCTGCTGAATTGCCATCGCCACCGCACACATAAAACAATGTCAGTTCGCAGAGAAAATGGTACTCACTAAATTGCTATCAACGGTTTTAGGGGCTTAAGTTGTTTTAGATGCATTTAAAATGTATTTACCAAAATAAATGTGAAATGAAATCTGTATTTATCAAAGAGGCATTTAATTTTCCGATTTAGAAAGGTAAAATATTTTAATATTTTAAGCTAAAAAACATACATTTTACAAGATCGATTATTAGGCTTCAAGGGACTTACACATTTTGATTGTCAGAATCACTCAACCATTCATAATAAGCCCATGGGATTTCTTGAATTGAAAGCGGCCTGAGCTGAGCTTTTGCCGGGGTCAGCTGAAGCGACGACTGGCCCTTTGATGGGCAACGTGGCGTATGATTCATAAATAGAGTTTCGCCCACATATCCGTACAGAAACCCATAAACGAATTAGGGAAATTGTTTTTTGTGCGGATGCTGCCATGCATTTGACACAAGTGGCGCGGCATCAAAATTCATCTGAAAAATTAGCCTCACATTCGGGATCAGCGACTCGTGTCCGGCGGGGTCAAAAACAACTGACCCCGCACAGTCGTAGCCGCAATTATTGAAAGCATTTTGGGTTTTGTGGCTAAAAGTGCAGCTGCTGACCATGTGCCACGCCTCCGCCCCGACCCCTGCCACGCCCCCCGGCCACAGGGAACTCGGTTAGATAGCCATTATGTGTTTAACATGTTTTAATGAACACAAACTAACACGAGTTGGCACAAAAGGATGTATATACAAATGGTAAATCGCTGATTAACTATTACTAATTGGATGAGTAAGCAAAAAAAGAAAGACATGCTGGTCAAAAAATCACTATAATTTAATGAGAAAGAATTTATTCCTTGATTTTTTTATTATATATTCAGTAGCAATACTGCACTAAATAATGCAAATAGGTTTTTGTTTTTCTAATTTGCCAATTAAACTATTTTGAAAGTGAATCCTCAATAGTTTTTATCAACAATGGTTTTGCAATTAAATTGTTGTATTCATAGAAGATACAATATTTATTGCTTTTAAAGCTGTTTGGTAAATTAAAAAAGGAAATCCCTTTAAGTTTACTTTACTAACCCAAAACTATTATCCCTTTTCTTACCTCATTCAAAATCAATCTGAATATTTGACCAACAATTAATCAGTGTGAAAAGTGTCTGATTGTAAGCCCACTTATTACCACGTATTACAGTCAAGTAGCAAATTTATTCAAATTGTATTTATTCAGTATCTCGTATCCAAGCAATTGAGCACCTGAATTGACATTTTAATTTTCGCATTAAGTAGTTGTCAATGCGATATGCAAATCTTTCGCACGGCAATGCAGATTTAGTAAGTGCATCGATAATCGAATGGAATTGAATTTAATTTCAACTTGATTACAGACAAATTCACATTTGACTTCGGACAAATTGAATTCTATTTTTGCAAAAATTTAACAGGCGATTGGCATTTCAAATAAATTAAAGTCTACTTTGACGGATGTCCCCAGCAAATAGAGGATGCGCATCGATCAAATGTTTGCCGGGAATTTTTAATCTTGATATGGGATGGCTGTCAATTGGTGTTTGAAAAACTTTGACATCGCCAGCGTTGTTTGGTTTGATTTAAAATTCAATTAAATGCAATTTAATTTATGGATCGCAGGGCAAATGGAAAAAGCTCCAATTAATAATCTGTTTACAAATTATTTGCGAATTAATTCTCGCTCGCACACATTACGCATGTAATGTAATTAAAAGCCATGGCCTGACAAATCAAAGTGAATTATGCAAAAACAATTTAAAAATGCGAGCAATGTCAGTGTTAATTAAAGAGGATATTTCTCTAAAAAAAAAATCCTGTCTGATTATACTAAATGATAATCTATAGCAGACACTTAAAGTTTACCTAAAAAATATCTACACACCTGCTTTGTGTGAGAAGAAAATCCTTTAAGAACAGGCCCAGCAGTTATTCAAGAGGTAAGCCCCTTTACACACTCCACCCACTGAGAAGTCGGGCAAGCTTGTTTATTTTACACAGGAGTATTTTTAGTCCTTTTCCTACGGCTGCTCCTGGGCTCGTAAATATATTTACTTTCGCTTTTTGCCGCTACAGAAACTTGGCCACCATCGTCGCAGGCTCCTTTAGTTGCAGCCACAAATCTTGGCCGAAACTGAAACAATGGCCAGAAACAAAGGCCAGCGGAATGACATCGACAACAACTTAAATGACAGTTTATAGCTCCCACGTTGAACACGTTTTAGGTTCGCTACTGCTGGCTACTGGCGGACAAAGGTTATTAAGCGGCAGCGGGAACAACATATTACACTGGAAAAAATGAAAAATACCTATGGAAGGATTTTTATATTTTTGAATAAAAGGTTTTCAATTAAATAGTTGAACTCCATTATAAACAAATCTTTAAAAAATATTTTGACTACAAAGCTCCTCATAGAGGATTAAAATAATTGTGTAGAACATTTATACCAAATGAACAAACATTATTTCCCACTTTCTAATAAAATAAAAAATTTATTTTGAATGGTTACTTTTCTTTGTAATTTTTTTCTCTGTGTATAAATGGCGTAGAGCAAGCCCAAAACGGCAATGAGCGGATTTGTTGGCACAAACAGCCGAGGCAATTTATTTTCCAAGCCAAAAGCGTAAAATGAACAGGGGCAATGTGAGAGGAAGGCGGCAAATCAGCGCCGGCGAAATGCTTTCTCTTTTTGTTGTTTTTCCCAGATTGGTGTGTGCTTTTGTGTGTGTGGGTGGGTGAGTGTGTGTGATTGTGTTGGTTTTGGCATCCACAGTGTCAATTTGATGTATCGATGCGTGTGGTCACCTCACCTCCCACTGAACTTCACCCAGGTCATTCGGTGGCAATTGTCCATTTCATTTGCAGTTGATTAGGCATTGCTCATGATATTCATCATACGCCGCGTGGTGGCCAAAACAGGACGTTCACACTGGAAAATAAAAAAAGAGAATCGGTATAAAGGGAAATACAAGTTAGAAAAAAGAGGAAAAGCAGTATATATATAATTCTTAGAACCTAAAAACATAATATTAATTTATTATATTATTATTTATTACCGACTTGTTCTTATTTTTTCCGGTGTAAAGCCTATTTTAGGCATTCCAAACCAAATTATTGTCATCCGATGGAACAATGCGGGAATTCCGCCTGCCAGAGATGAGCAAACAAGCACATGTCGAGGAAAGTGAATACCAAGGGGATCAATGGTGTTAAATAACTTGAAAATTGAGTCTTGCCCCAAGATGGGAATTGCCGCATAATAATGGCAAGTGAAAATATTTGCACAGAGGCAGCCAAAGAGGCGATTAGTTTGCGACGGGACATTGCCGGGGACATCAATTATAATCCAAATGAGCCGCACACACACAGCTAGAAATTGCCGGGTTCCAAGTAATCCGCCTTGGCAATAAAATCAAACAAACTTCCACCCACTTGAAGTCTGGGCTCTGGCTTAGCTCCTCAATCGCTTAATCGTTTTGTTATTTATACATCTAATTTGATCTGTAATCGATGGCGAACCGCCCTCAACTGCGAATGGGAGTTCCTGCCTCATATATATGGTCACAAGTATATATATTTAGGATATGTAGGATGTAACTTCCTTCCGCCCCTCTTCAGTCTGATACATGACACTTGTAAGCGAGCGTTTTGTAATCGAATCCTTGTTAGGCCCAGTATCAATATGTCGACGCAAAGCCGGGTACATAAAATGACAAAAATTATTGAACAGCGATTACAAATGCCACAACAATTGTGGGGGCTTACTATCTAGCAACATGGATTTAATTGTTTGGCAATTTTGGTTTTATTGTTTGCTGTATTTTATCAATTTATAGACAGAAAAAATTCCAGATTTGGGTTTAATGCTATCAAAACAAGGACATCTTTAAGAGATTTTAAGTATTAGAAGCTTTTGATTTTGGATTCCGCAAATTCAAAGCTTAGGCATACCTCCCTTTATATTGCAAAACCCCATCTGTAATTGAATACCGAGGCGGTCGCTCTAGTTATGCACTAATCAAATCTTGGCGTACACATGTGACCACCATTAAGATCCGCATAAACCAAACCAAAACCCATCCCGTAGCCCGTGGCTAATGGTGGTTATTCGCTTCCATTCCAAGCTGAAACGCATAATTCAATAATAATACCACATCAGAGACGCTGGGCGCTAAATTAAGTTGCCAGTTTGCCAGTCTACCAGTTTACCAGTCGAAAGCTGAAATCCCAATTCCAAGGACACCTACTGATGCCGGCGAATTCCCAGAGCAATTCCCCCTTTTCACGATTTTCCACAAAGCACAGCACGCATTTAGCACAACTTCATTTATCTTTTGCATTTTCCTTTAGCATTTAATTAAAAAGACAAGTTCCCATTGTCGGTGGCGGCAGTCAGCCTGCCTTTTATCCTCGCCTGCTCCAGACATCCTGTTGGCTGCTAATGTGTGTCCTCCTCTATATGTATCTTTATATATATATAATATATATATATGTTTATGTGTGTAGGTAGTCCTTTGTGGCACAACAGCACATCTACAAGGACATATTTGCGGTTTCTGCGCCAACATTGTCGCCCCTGCGACTGTCACTGTCACATATGCTAGCCCAACCCTTGTGCGTTCCATTCCCGTTGTCTGCAAATTGTCTCCCAACCCTGCCCCGCCCCTAATCTCCCTTATCTCGGGGACTTCCGCCCACTCACCTGCCCATTAAAAGCATAATCATGTTGCCGTGATAAATGCCTAAATGCCGGGGCCACAGCTAGCTGCCTGCGATCAATTAAAGCCGCTGAAAAACCAGCCGGCAGGCAACAAAATTAAAGGTAGACTAGAGTCCGTTAATGTAAATACCCTCGAATACTTCAACTTAATAGAACACACCATAGAATTGTTTTAAAATTCTAAAGGGGACTCTTACAATCAACATGAATATGTTATTTCTTAACCAAAAATGTTGTAAAATGGGTGGATGAGCTATATTTATTAAATCTGTTTAGACCTTAAATAGATATTCCATAATTTCTGTTATAAGGATCATTTTAATAAAAGTATGCCTTAAAATGAAGCATTATAAAACCTTTAATGTATAATTATAATTTTAATTCAAAGGAATTCACTTTCAACCGGAAATGAGTTACTTTATAGGAATAAATTAGAATAAATTCTAAGGACTTATAAAGAACACGAAAGCATGCAAACATGATATCGCTAAGTAGCTAGGCTTAATATATCCAATTAAATCTTTAAATCCAATTATAACTTTTGCAGATAATTTCTACGGTTGATATTACATATAACAAGAACCATTGTCATATTAAGCTTAATAATTTTAATAACAGCTTTTATTTTATTTTTGATAAGAGCACACATGGTCTGGTAAACCTCCAAAAAATATAATATCCTTTAAAAAGTGTAAAATGTGTGCAAAAGGACAGAGGCCTATGTAAAATTCATAATGCGACGTTGATGGCGAAAAACAGCAATTAAAGCACTCACCCACACTGGAAAAAAAGAGAGGGGGATTGAAGTGCCCTCAGCACACACACACACACAGGCACAAAAGGCAAAAGCTTATTAACATTTCCACAAATCTGCGTCTGCATGTGTGTGTGTGGGAGTGCGAAATTAAATGACAACATATTTGACACTGATTCTTGTCACATGACAGTGTGCAGCGTGTCATGAAAATTTATCAGCAGGCCCTAAATGCCCCCCTTCCCTAGCCCCCCAACCCTCTTTTCACTTTTACCTGAGCCCCTGGCGTCGAAAAAAGTTCACTTCACTTCATTTCAATAAAATTACAACGAGTGTCGCCTTTCGCCCGCCATTTTCTTGTTTCTCTGCCACCTGACAAATGCTGAAAAATTGTCTTACATTCGCCGCAGCTTTGGGATTACCGTGCGAATTCTTTTATCATTTTCATTTTTGTGGCATGTCTTTAATTATAATTTTAATTCAAAGGAATTCACTTTCAACCTGATTTAATTATGCTTTGAATTAAGTAAGATTAATGCGAGCAGGAAATTCCTTAGCACTTTAAATAAGCTTTGAATGGGAAGTTAATTCGGAAATGAGTTACTTTATAGGAATAAATTAGAATAAATTTATATAAAACCAATTTTAGACTACTCCTAAGTTAGCTTTGTTAACTTACATTCTTTGGCTAACACTGAAAACTAATACTAAGTACAACTAGTAAACGATTTTTTAACCACAATGTTTTATAAGTAAAATAAAGGTAGTAAGCTGGATAGTCGTACCTTAAAGCCTTAAATATAAATATCTGGTCCAAAAACGCATAGCTGATTTTCTCTCAGTGCATGGCACCCAATGCCTGTTAAATTTAGGGATAACAATGTGTGCGAGTGGGGAGCGACGGCACCTTAAAACATTTTCGTGTGATTTTGAAAAGATGTCAACAGAATTTATGCAAATGATATGTTAACGCTACTTATATGGAAATTAGTATAAGGAGTCAGAATGCGCCAAAGGCATCCTCGAAAGTCGGAGCTGGAAAACGCCGGAGACACAGGCGGCGTAAAAGGGGGTATGAGTTTTGGGGGGGTGGGGGTGGCAAATGGGCGGAAAAGTGTCGAGTAGCAAGGACTGCTCCTTGCGATGTGGCAGCAACACTTTCTGCACTTTTAGTCAAAGTTTTGATTTCGTGTTACATGAGTCAGAATTTTAATGATGCTGATAAAAGTCTGTCCCCCCTCCCCCGAAATTGCTTATTATGTGCCTCAGTGTGTGTGCAAGTGGGTGCCCAGGAAACTAAGTTTATGCCAAAGTGTGAGTGTGTGTGTGTTAGTGCCAAGGTGTTGTTATCCTTTGAGCTCCTTGGCTGCCCTTATTCCGGGTTGAACTATTTAATTATAAGCCCACTAAGCTGAAACTAAAATTGTAAGCTCCTTTGAGTTTCGGGCCTAAAGAGAAACCAATTTTGGGTAATGGGGTAATAGGAGGGTTCGGCAAACTCTGCCAAACTCTCTATAAGTAATCCCATCTTCTAACAGCCCAGATAAGGCAATCACCAAAACGAGACTTCTTCGGCTTTGTTCGTGTTTTGTTCCCGGCTTTGCATGTTAATCGCCAACTTCATGACGCAAATAAAACGCGAAATTTTAGAGTTAATAAACAAGGCATAATGATCATGATAATTACCCTCGAGCCAAGACGATTTTCAAGCGGTTAAGTGCCATAATTTAGCATTTCATTTCGTCGTCGGCGAAGCGTGCAATGCCACAGTCCAGGTCTTTTGGATTGCTCACACTGAAAGAAACTAAGGAAAGCCAATTAATGTATTTACTTTAAGTCAGTGGTTGCCAACAGAAGCGAAATTGGATTACGTGAGTGATTTGCTCAGCGAAACAATACGAAGTGTGAGTATCGACCTCTTTCCTATACTGTGTGTGTGAGCAGAGGAATTTCCTATCCCGCGGGCCGCCTGCACTGCTTTCATTCGTTGACCACTGCTTTGTCACTTTAAAAACAAATATACTTCTATATATTCTACGTATATTGAAGAGATTATAAAATAGCTGGCCATTTAATCTTGAAATATTTTCAAACATAACTTAAAACTCGAAAAAACTTATTTTACGCTAAAGCATGGTTAAAATATAGAATTAAGTCTTTGAACTCACTAAAAAATTCAGAATCTCTCTATATTTCTACTCCAAGTTTGGTAAATAAACTTTTTATTTTCCATTTTCTTACTTAATTTTAAACTTGTTCACGGACCTTCATTTATAAGATTGCATTTTGTTTCTATAAAGGTATTTTTTGAAGTGCAAGCTGAGAACAGGACTATTTCAGCTGGCGGCGACATCAGCAGCTCCTGCAGCTCAAACACTCGCCAAAGGGCCAACTGAACAAAGCCACTTGAGGTGCGCTCGAGCACTTTAACGGCTTCATGTCAACACACACACACACACCCTGCCGCCCACAGCCACCCACGAAACTCAGGTGGGCGTGTACATCAGGTGGGTGGGTGTGTGTGGGCGTTTAGGGCTGTTTTAACACCTTTCGACAGGGGAAAGGACCAGGGAATGGGAATGGAAATGGAAACGGGCCGCCGCTTAGCGTTGCTGTTTAAAATGTTAATGAGCTTTCGGGGTGGCTCAGGTGGACCGGGCGGCTCGGTTGGGTGGCATTCTCTCTTTCGACCGGATGTGGTCCTGCCAGCTTCCGGTTAGCTGAGTCTTAAGCGCCTGCTACGTGAGTGGTGTGCAAATAGTTTCAATTGCGGCTTTTGCGCCCGTTTGTTTTATTTATTTTTATTAAAACATAAAGAGCTCGCGGCGAAAAGAATGACATTGACTTTGCCCACCTGGCGGTAAATTGCTCGGCGGGCATTCATTAAAAACAAGATGTTTAAGCAAACAAAGAGCATTTGCACGAACTCCCCTCCATCTGCCACTTGCACTTTTTATCATCCGTAATTTTGCTCTAACCGAGACAATGGCAATGGCAGTGACAATGGCCGAGGAAAATACAATACACAAAAGGCAATGCTCAATAGTTGAAAACTTGAAGTGTATGCGCGATAAGGAAACAACTTCTTTGCCTTCTCCCCCCTCACAAAAATGTTGCAACAAACAGTGAAAACTCAGGGAAAACTAATCAGTTCGACAAGCGCAGGACAAAGAAAATGAGACAAAGGGAAAAGGAAGTTCTTAAAGAGTTAAAGTGCGGATCACGCATACGCACCGTGTACCAGATGACTCTGCGCTGGCAAGCAACATAAATAAATTTCAATGCCTCGCAAATGATAATAAATGTAAAATAAACGCAAAATGCTACCAACATCAGTAGCTTTGGAATAGTGGAATTGTGGAAGGCAGATGCATACCGAAATTAAGAGCAAAGTTTTGCACAAGAAGTCAAAACAATAACAAGGACAAACATTTTGTGTGTCCAAGTCGGGCGAGAGGTGCTTGAATATATTATAAAATATGGGAAATGTGTTTGAAAAATACAAAAAATATATTTTGTAAAATATGTATATGTATTAAATGTAACTCTAAATACAAAATTAATTTTTATTTATTTTCGAAAAATATTAAAACGTTGGAATACATTTGTAACCCTATTTCAAAACAATGTTATGTAGATCGTCTACCTTCTTTGTAACATGTAACATGTTTTTTAAGTGTGTTTTTTATTGTTCAGAGTCAATTAATAGTACTTAAAAATGTTGTCATTGTCACTATAGCAGACAACTCAAACAATCGAGTGGAAAATAGAAAAGAGTGCCGGCTCGAGAACTCGAAAACTTTTCGAATCAACCCACTTGAAGGAGCTGGGCTACGCTTTGTGCTTTTTGCACATGATTTTTACCATTGCCAGTTGTGATAATGTTTATTTTATCGGCCACGACACATTCTGCTGCACTTTTGGCAGCACTTAGCACAGAGACCAGACCGGGGTCAGAACAACAGAGAGCGGAGTGCACAGTTTTTCGTGCAGTTTGTCCATTAAAAGTTAATATCACTTTGCCAAAGTTCCAGTTACCCCCCCACCCATCTTTCGGTTGAACTTTAACTGGAACTGAGGCCGAGAATGCAACTGTGACTTTCAGTTTCAGTTTCGGTTTGAAATTGGGTTTGGGTGCCCAACTTTTGTGCCAGCGACAATCAACGATTTTCATAGTCAGTTGCACATGTAAAACAAACAGACCTTCTGCCGAGGCCCACTCCCTGCTAATTTATCGCCTGGTACAGTTGCCACCCGCTAACACCCACAGCGCAGCTTTCGAAAATTCTGGGAACATCCATTTGGCATTTATGGCCACTGACGATGACATTTATAGCGCCTTTCCAGCGCTTTCTTATAATTCTCATAATCTTAATGCCCTAGCTAAAAAGCAAAATGGTGCACAGAAAGAAAAACTCAAGTACTTACTTTGTATTATGGTATAATTAAAGTATACCTTTAATGTATATGTTGGGTTCATTATTTTCAAAGACGTAGTTCAATATAGCTTAAAACTGTTTAATGATCCTAAAGATGTTTAAGATTTTCAAATATGTGTCTATAACTTTTATTTGGATGTATAGATAATATTTACTGGTTGTTTTTTCCTCTGTATTTTTGGGCAGAGACCTCTGCCGTTGACCAGTGAAAGGAAGTCTGAAAGCGGAGCTCACCGTTCGCCGAGTGAATGATGATAAAGCGCTTTAATGCCTTTATTGCGAACGATTGTGCCGTAGGAAATCTGTTATAATCCACAGCAAGTGACAGTAAACGAGTTGGCTTAAGCCCGAGGATGAGGCGGGAGACGGGTCAATTGCCGAATGGGAAACTATCTCGTCGTTGTCTTAAGCCCCAGAATGGCCCAAAATATTCAGGTCGAAACAAAAGCTTCTCGGGCTCCTTAAAGTCTGAGTGTTGGCTTGTTCCTTTGTTCCCAAACTCAGCGCTTCTAAAGTCTACCTTACTTTTATTTTATCAGCAGAATACCGAAACCAAAGGCCCTTGCCCAGATTTCCATTAAAAATTTAATTGTCTATCACTTTGGGGCACGTTTCTCCATTTGGCTTAGCACGTTTTAGCCACCGGGGCCACTAGGCCACATCCCTCCCTTTTTTTTTGGGCGACAGGTTCATGACTTTATTAGTTCACGCATAATGACAAAAATGGGTCGGCACGTAATGCGTGTGCGTTGCTTATTTTGCTTTTGCTGCAAGGATTTCAGTGCCCCAGAGTCATAAAACGGGTGACAAACTCAAAGGAACCCTTAGACGCATAATGCGCATTGGAGGTCGAAGGATTTTTAAATGTCATGCCTGAGCGAGCAGGACGCTCTAAGATATTTAAGATTTAAATCCAAAATTGTCACGGAAATGTTTATAAGTGTTCTTAACAAAAATTTACTTTAATTTTAAAATACCTCAATTCTAAAAAAAATAAACTCTTTATAGATATGACAAGTAAGGCAGATCAAATCATAGCCACCTAATTATAAAGGACTCTTTTATCTATCACAGCCATTTTTATAATGATATGGATAACTATTTTATCTACAATATGTTTTATGAACTACCTTTCTGTTTTAGAGTTCGTTTCCCTGCAGGATACTTGAGCAACATATAGACCATCGATTGACACTCCCTTTGGATAGCTGAAATAGACTGCTGGGGGGTCAGGTCCTGTCACTCTGCAAGACGGTTCCATTTTTTATGCTTTATAATGTGTGATATCATGATTTATTGCACATTAAAGTTGCAGCCACTCCCACTGAGTGCTTTTCCCGCCCACTCAGAACCCCCCATCACTTTCCCAGACCCTTTTTCCCGACATTCGATGAACACGGACAATGCAATGGATATGATATTGCCACTGCCATCGTCCTTTTGTTGGAAATCAATGTGATGCGATGCGTGGCACACATCAAAGTGTTGATCGGAGGGGAATCAGAGGGGGTTGTGAAAAGGGGGTTGAAAAAGGGGGGAGGGGGAGGAATGTGGAAAACCGGGCGGAAAATGTAGAGTTGCCAGCTTCTCCCACTGAGTTGTTGTTTACGTATGCGTGACGCATCATGCGGCCGCTAAGCTGCAAATCTCTTTAAGATGATACTTTGCAACATTTACAAATGTTTTAGTGCCCCCCAATGTGCGTGTGTGTGTGTGTATTTGAGAGATGTGTCCTGCGAGTGTATCTGTGCGAGTGTCTGTGAGTCTGCGTCTGTGATTAGCATTCCAGGCATATCTTACATTTATGTTGGATGTTTCCGTTGCAGCAAATATACGCATGTATGTGTTGGTGCCCTGGGAAAGTATAAAGGCCATGGGCGGAAGGGGGTGGAAAAGCCAGGGAAAGGGGGAAAATATGGGCGTTTGGGGCGGGACGGTAAGTGTACAGGGAGTCGTGTAATGTTACGGTTACGGCTCGTTATGCCCTTTTGCCAACATTAAGCTGTTACTGCTGCTGGTGTTGGATGCAGTGAGAGAAAATATATAAATATATAATATACAAATTTTTGATAAGATACAAAAACTATAAGATATATTAGCTTAAAGATATAGCTGAAATATAACGTCTTAAAATTTAATAAAAAGGATATAAATTATTTATTTTAATATTTCAACAACAATTTATTTTGATTGGTAACCTCTGTATTTTCATCAATATGCTTTCTTCCTTTTCTCTCAGTGTCCCCAGCGAAGGTCTGTTGCTTTTGTAGCTGATGTATTCCTCAGACACAGATACATATGAATACATATAGCCAGTGTCAGTCCATTTATATTTGATTTTGATGTTTA